CCCCAAAACCCCAAAACCCCAAAACCCCAAAACCCCATTATATCCTCTTAGTAAAATTATTAACTTCATCTATCATAAAGATGTATAAATTCTGATGTTAATTGATCCCAGTCGGTTCTTCTTTTTTGCCGGATACTTCAACTTCGAAGCACTTTTCATCAAATAATTTTTGAACTTTGCGAGCAGGATACCACTTGTCATAGACCTCTACAGATTTTAGGCTCTGTGTTAAAGATGTTTTGTTCATGCCATCTATCAAAAGCTTCAGCTTTGGTTCATTTAGAGTATTTGGGTTCAAAATAATGCAAGTTCCATATAAGCTTAATTTATCTATTTTGTATTCAATTTCTGAATTAAGGATGAAATCAGATCCTAAAGAGCCAATAACTCAGAAGCATAAGATCAGCTGAGATGAATGTGAGCTTCCTTCAATTATATCCCGAAACTGATCTTTTGATATCATAAATCCTTTTAAGTAGACTTGAGACCTAACAGAGAGTAGAGTCTTTTTCAGACTTGGCATGAAACTACTAATTGCTAAATCATTGGCTTGGAGATACAATGAATTTAAACCTTTAAATGATATGTTATCAAATATGTGCTTAAGTCCTTCTCTACTTTTAATAGACATTGCCTTCACTGGGCTAACCCAGAATTTCTTCATCCTCGGGAAGGTACAGATATTTGAATTTGTTACTTTTGTTAAGAAGTCTTCAACAATTTCAGCCTTTGAGACTCATTTAAGCTGTATCTCATAGCTATAATATTTTAAAGATACAAATACTTTATTAAGTCTGGTATGGTAACTTTATTATCTAACCCAGAACTTCGAAGGATTTGGCACAGTTCAAACATTTCTTCATATGTGCCAAGATCTTTTAAACATTTAGAGTTCAGTTCTTTAAAAGCTTCCTTGTTTTTATCAAATAATTGTCGGGATGAGTTGTTTAAGCTTAAAAGGAGAGCTTCCCATTGAGGATAAAATCCTAAAAACGGTAGAATCTCTCACATTAAACTAAACTTTGAAAACATTGTAGCTCTATAGTTTGATATCAGAACAGCTCAATTAATATTGCTTACGAAGAATGATATGTAGATGGTTTGACAACTGTCATATCAAATTGTTTCTGAATATTGGCTCCCATTTATTTTATATTAAGCATCACAACATTTTATCGAACGTTAGGGGTTTTGGGGTTTTGGGGTTTTGGGGTTTTGGGGTTTTGGGG